ACACACAGAGAGAGAGCGCGAGAGAGATTCACGGAATAGAAGAACATAGTTGTATGGTTGGAAGGTTCTCGGTATCTTGAAGGGAACAAAAGAAAGTTACACATTGACATAGTTAATCAGCGATAAACGCAATACAATGAATCTAGAGTGCAGATTATATGTTTAAAGTTGGTTGTTCTTCTCATGTTTTCTTTGTGTCTCTGCGTAGTTTTGAAGATTGTACGTGCACATACAGGGTTTATAATTTATGTCTGAGTTATAATGTGTAATTTCAGATAAATTTACAAATCAAACGGTAAGGTAGATTTCGAAACATTGTTTTTTGATTTGTGAGCAGTGAATTCAAAATGTCGTAATTTGTTATTGTAGAAATTAAATGTTCATTTTGTTTGTAAATTGTTTACAAGATGCAAATTGAAAGGATAATCCAGAAGGACATATAATCGTGTACAGTTTTGTCGGTTCATTCATTCAAATATTGTCATTTTATGTATTTCTATTTAATTGAGAATTGATTTCGAGCGAATAAAGGAAATAGTGAATCATTTTTTCTAAACATTTCGACATTTTGATTGGTAGTATTTTAGCAGATACACAATAAGTTTCAAGTGTAATCGCATCACGCAGAGTTAAGACAACGCGAGATTATTGTGTTGGCGTGTTAAGGTCAATATATGGTTGTGTAGTTATAATTCCATATTTTCGTAAACACAGAAATGTACACTTTTAGTTCGAGCGAAAGTTCAGAGCCTTATTGTTAGTTTTTTTAGTTTGATGTCGTCGGTGTAGCCAGGTTCGTAATTACGCAGAGTTGAGGCAATGTTTAGTTTTTTTTGTTCCGGATTTTGTGAAATAGTTCAATGGAGTTCGGGTTGAGATTTTTGTTGCATGAATAATTTCGATGTTGCCAAATTGTTGTTTTTACAAAGTCAAACCAAACATATTTGCGGCAAACAAGAGATATTTTGCGTTTTTTTAGGAGGGGAGGGAATTTTCGGTCATATCTCTCTGCAATTTTAGTTTTTTATTTTTCATGCGCATTGATTTATTCACGATAACGTCACAATCGCGTTCGAAATACGGTTCTATAATATTGCCGGCAAGATTTTGTTTGTGCGATAATAAATGAATTCCCACATCGCATATAGTACATTGTAAGTCGTGTGTTTTTCGTTCTAGATTTTCTTGATGCAATTCGTTTATTTTTTTAGAAATACGGACAATTGCGAGTTCGATGATTCGATCGAGTTCTTGCATTGTGCTTCCTCACAAAAAAGCCAATGTGTGTTCCCGAATGTTTCGTCGTTTGAAAAACGGATGCACGTTTCCAACAGAAAGGGGGCGGAGTTCTCGTTTATGCTTGCAAAAGAATGTAAAAGTCCTGGAAGTTTTTTTTTCCAGTATTATTGATACATATAAAGTGTCTTGGATCCAATCGCATCGAAGGGAGAGAAATTGATTTGTAATTTGTTTGTTCACGCCGGGAACGCGTCAGTTTTTAGAGGTTTTTTTTGCGCCGCGCCGTGTTTTTTTTTTGCAAGTTGGCTCCGGCAGAGAAGAGTGAGTGTCGTCGTTGGTGATCGCCCGTATTTATGTCGATTTTTCGAGCATTAGTGGCACGTGCTAGAACAGGCAGAACCGCAGTCCACGTTTCGGATCGAAAAAATACCAAGAATTTGGAATAATCGGCGAAAGGACGCGCTGAATGAACGTGCCCATGCATTAGAAATCATACAAAACTTGTTCGAAAGCTTCGTTCTGGGTTGCGATTTCAAAACAAATGTTAGAGAGAGGGAGTGCGAAAATTGTTAATTGTTTATTAGGATCGGAGGGGATTCAAGCCCACAAATTGTCGTACATTGAAGATTGCACAGTTTTTTGTTTATCACGTTTCTTTTTTTCATTTTGTCTCAGGCATGTCCGCATTGCACGAGAAAGCTCCACGCATTCCTTGCTGCAATCAAGGGACGATCCACCGTTGATTTCGAATTTGTTCTGATTGTTGTTTCTGTGCAGCTTACAACGCCGATTCTCAACAAGTCGCCAATTCAGACCAGCGATCACAACAGATAAAGGTTACAGAATGCAAGAGTGGTGAAACGCTTTAAAACAACAGTGCAGATGCGCCGGTAATGTTGGTTTTCGTTTTTTTTTTTTTTTTTCGTCGTTTTTTTTGGAAGCGTGGGCTTTATAGGTAACTAGTGAGTGTCGCGTGGACGTGAAATTTACCCCAAGCATGTTCCCCTTCACTTCTGTAAATTATATTCTTCACCTCTGTCGTCCGTACTATTGCACCACATTCAGCCTTACAGCAAAAGCACGTTTGCATTTGTTAGAGTTTCCAAGTTATTGTATTTTCATTCAGGGTAGTCAACCTCCCATTGTGGCTTGCAGTTTTGGGCCCTGGGTGTATTTTCCTGAATGTTGATTTTCAGAACCTTTTCGGAAATAATTTCCGAAAGGTTTCTCGAATCCATAATGAGCCAGGTTGTGCATTTCTCGATTGTAGGTGAGTGTTTCGCACAGTCTAGTGAGCCATGGCATGGGACCCATAATCGAACGGGACAGTCCCACAGTTTAGGTTTGTTCTAGTCTGAGCCCTGTAGGTGCACTACAGTTCGCCGACAGACCATTTGAGCACATGTGTACAAATGGTTCTTTGTTTTTTGAATGTTCATCGTAGTGTAGCAGAGCATCTGCGCATGCACGAGTAGGACGCAGCAGGTGCACGAGAGGACTGTGGATTGTTACCACTTTGACTCAAGCGAGGAACAATTATTATTGTAATCGAATCGTTTGTCGATTCATTTCTGTGAGTTTTGTTCTAATCTTTTCTTAGACCAGTAGTTTGGAATATTGGGCAAATTTGGTGGACACATTGGGCATTTCATCAGTCGAGATGCCTCCAGAGGATGAATCCAGGCAGAAACGCCCCCACCGGAGGATCAGGGCCTGCACGAGCGGGATTGCGTCCAGGCGCCGGGAGCCGTACCGAGTGGGCTCGCCGGCGCGGCTGGTCCTGCCAAGTCCCGGGCGGCCGATGGACGTGGCCATCCTGGCCGTCGCAGCTCAGGGTGGTCCAGGTTCGCGTGAGCCATTGGCCAGAGGCGAGGGAAGCGCTGGGCTGGCAGCGCCGCCGGTCTTCGGTGGCGAGCCAGCAGAGAGATGGCGTTTCGCCGAGATCCAGATCGTGGAGCGCCGAATCGTGCAGGTTGGCGTCGAGCGCCGCAACGATGTGGAGCTCCAGCAGCAGGTCAGCACCTATGTGGCCGGCATCGTTGACCTCCAGCAGGGCAGGCACGAGGTGGAGACCGTGGGTATGCGGTTGAAGGTCACTGAGGCGGAGCTCGAGACGGCGAGGGACGGCCTCAGGGTCGAGTACGACGAGGCCAAGCAGGAACCACGAGAAGAGCGAGTACGAGCAGCAGATCCGTCGTGCTCGGCATGCGGCTACCACCCACATCCAGCAAGAGTTGCAGCAGTGCGTCGAGGAGCGCGACGCTGCGATGGTGCGGTCCAGGGATGTCCACAATGCCGAGATGCGGGTCTTGGATGCCGAGGCCAATCACGTCTTGGTTGCAGGTCGTGCTGAGAACGAGCTGCGGTCTGAAGTCGGAGCGATCAAGAGGGCGCGAGACACGCTTCAGGCCGAGTGGACCGAGGCGACCGAGCAGGTCCAGAGCGCCGAGGCGAAGGTGCAGCAGAGAGGCATCGCAAAGGACCAGGACTTCGAGCGTCTCAAGGCGGAGGCGAGCGACCTGAAGTTCCAGTTGCAGGAGGAGTCCGAGATCGCGCAGTTGGCGCGGCGGCGGCTGACTACACGTGCCCAGTCGTCGGACGACCAGCTCCGCGGGGAGCTCAACGACGCGGCCATGAAGTGCGAGATGGTGGAGGCCGAGGCGTCCAGGCAGATCGCGGCTGCGTGGGCTGAGTGCGACATGAAGGTCGAATCAGCTCAGCACGAGGAGCGGGAACACAAGCGAGGCGCAGATTCAGCCAGGGTAAATTTCTACGCAAGCCAGGCTTTGCACAACACCGAGAAGGAATACTACGAGCACGAGGTCGACGAGTTGCGCGCCGAGTCCCGCGAGCAGAGGGATGAGAAGGCGGCCTTGGCGAGGGCGGCCCAGGAGCTGATGGATATCCAAGCTCCAGGACCGCATGAGCATGAGTACGCCGAAGGCCATTGGGAGCAGCAGGACGACATGGATTTCGTCAGTCGGACTGGACCAGTCGATCCAGGACCTGCGGTCCCACCAGGACTCTCGAGGCAGTCGGCGGCAACGCCGGGTGCATCGTCCCAGGACGCTGGCATCGCCGCAGCCATGATGGAGTTCATGCGCCAGATGGCCGACCAGCAGCGTGCTGGGGTCGAGGAGCAGAGCGCGCTGCTGAGGGGGCTTACGCGCGCCCAGGAGAGCTTGGCCGAGGCGTAGCGCGAATCCCAGTCGAAGCTGAAGCCAGCGAAGCCTTCGCTCACGGGCAAGGATGCGAGCACCTTGAAAGTCGAGCTTGAGAAGTTCCGCACCAACCAGAACGAAGCGCGCCAGAACAGCAAGGCGATCTGGTTCGAGGGCGCGAGGGCCATCGCTGAGGGCACCGCGAAGATCGAGCTCGAAGACATGATCGTTGCCGAGATGGGTGGCGAGGAGGCTTTCCAGAAGCTGGTTCGTGTTCGGGACGATCCGCGATGGGACCTCTACTGGTCTCGCTACGAGCGCAGGCTGAAGCGGGCCGTCCACCTTGACGACGAACACGAGTCCAACGAGGCGGTCCGGCGCTACAGCAGGTTGTCCTTGCCCAAGGACGCGAACCCGGAGGGCGTTGCCAAGTTCTTGAACGAGTACACGGGCGTCAGGACCGACATGCTGAGGTACGGCCTCCTGACCGATGACGCGGAGAGCCCGATGTTGATGAGGGAGATCGAAGAGTTCAAGACGAAGATTGAAGGCAGCGCTCTGTTGATTTACTTGATGGACCTCCCTACCTTCCCGAGGCGCATGGCCATCCGCGAGGACGAGGACAGCGGCGTGACCATCCTGGGCCGGTGCCGCCAGCACGTCAGGGCACGAGCTCGAGTGGGGCTCCAGTCGTCCGAGACGAAGCCCGGGCAGCTGCTGAACACTTCGGCCGAGCCGAACGCGAAGCAGTCGGCCGCGGCCAAGAAGGAGGCCAAGAAGCAGGAGGAGGCGAAGGTGGCGAAGGCCAAACAGATCATCGAGAGCCTGCAAGGTGCTTCAGCGGCCTCGTCAGGTTTCCCGCTCCCGCCGACTCCGACGGCGCAGCAGCTGGACAGCCGGTGGAGGGCGGCCCGCGAGCCAGACAAGGGCAGGTCGAAGGCCGAGGCCGCGCCGCGGGCCGGCACAGGCGATTGCCCGCGTTGCAAGGGCACGCACCCCGAGTGCTCGGTCTGCCCGAATCAGAAGGCCAGCGAGGAGCAGGGCTGGGACGTCACCAAGGCGGTGAAGGACGCCATCCCATGCTGGTACAAGCATTTGAACAAGGGCCAGGCTTGCGGAGGCATGGGTCACCTCAGTCGCCACCACGCCCTGTGCTACGCCGAGAAGGGCGCCAAGGAGGCGGAGGAGTACCTCAAGCAGAAGGCCGACAAGGGTGGTGGCAAAAGACGAGGTAGAGGTGGCGAGCAGGGCGGTGGTAAAGCGAAGTCCAAGGGCAGAGGCGGCAATGCCCGCTTGCTCACGTTCGAGGGCTCGCACGCCACTGACCAACAAGAGCGGACGGACCGTGCCGCGAGGCTCCTGGCGTCGTTGATGACGATGGAGACCGACAACGACATCGACAGCATCGGGGGTGAGGCCAAGTCCAAGAAGCTGTCTGATATGAATCTTAATTCGAGCGAGACCTTCGACTCGGACTTGTGGGGCCCAGCTCGCCCGCGCAGCTGGCTTAGGCGTACTTTGTCTCAGGTGCGCTATTTCACGGGGAAGGCCGTCATGATTCTCCTTGGGTTCGCAGCCCTCATGATGGTGATCGGGGTCATCGCTTGCGGCATTGAGAGCAGAGTTGCCAATTCGCCCTCTCCGCTGATGGCAGCAGCGGCGAACCACGAGCTCGTTCGCAAGGTCGGTCATCTTTCAAGCGGTGGCTCCAAGCATATGGTCTTGCAGGTGTCGGGCGGATACAATTGTCGAGCCTTCACGTGGATAGGGGAAGCCAGAACTGAAACAGTCTTCGATACCGGAGCCACTCGCAACTCCATAGACCGCGACTTCCTGAAGGCACTGCTCAAGGAGCCCCGGACGTCCAACTTCGTCGAGGACGTGGGGGCCATCGAGCCAATCACCCGCCGCTCTTTCGAGCGCGGCCAGACGGTGGTGGTGAACCGACTCGCTACATTGAAGGTTTCTTTTCGCGAGAACGGTGCTGTCGCCTGCGAGACGGTCAGCATGGGGTTCCTTGTCGTGCCGAATTGCACCGAGGACTTGCTCATCGGGAAGCCATCCTTGGACAGGTGCGGTTTCGTCTCCGACCGTGACTCCATCGAGCTCAGGTCGCTCGGGGTTCGCTTTCCGACTGTGCTTCCAGGCGAGCAGGACGACCCGAATACGCATACCTTCCTGCGGTGCTCGGACCACATTGTCGTGGAGGCGCCGCCTGGTCAGAGCATCGTGAAGACGATCTCGATGCGCGCGCCGCCGGAGGCTCGCTCAAGCAGCCTTTGGATCGAGCCAGGTCCTGATCTACCCGACCATTGCCAGGTCATCGAGGGGCCGCTGATAGTCCAGAACGGCACCTACAACGTGGACCTGATCGTGCACGATCGCGTGCATCTTGGCCCTGGTCAACGACTACTTCGCGCCCGTGATGCCACCCAGCGCGACTTGGACGTCCTCAGCGCCCTCGGCAGGGAGGAGTCCAGACGGGCGGCGGAGATTTACTCATTGTGGCAGGCTCGAAGCGAGGCCTACTGCGACTCAGAGGTCGAGACAAGTGCCAACGCTGCTACGTCGGCAAGTACTGCGACAGAGGCCCAGATGCTGAAGACGTCCTACAAGACTCGTGGAAAGAAGGAGCGCCACGAGGTCCTCTTCCCCGACCTGGTGAAAGAAATCGAGGAGGAAAAGAAGAAGCGCGCGTCGGAGGTCAGCTGGCCGAACCAGGAGTCCGAGGCCTACAAGGACGAGGCTGAGAGGCAGGCAGGCCCTCTCCTGGGGCCGCAGCTCACGGGGAAGCAGAAACGCCGCTTCCTCACCAAGGTCGTGCGTGCATTTACGTGCTGTCTGTGGCTGCCTGGCTGCAACCCGCCGAGGGTCAAAGACTTCGTGGCCGACATCAAGGTCAGGCCAGATGCGGTGCCGAAGGTCACGCAGCCGTTCCCCCTCAGCAAGTTCGACGAGCTCCGTTTGCGCTACCACGAGGACGTCGAGGTCGAGGAGGGCAAGGCACGTTGGCTACTTCCAGGTGAGCGTTCAGAGTGGGGATCTCCTTCGTTCGTAGTGGACCAAGACAGCAAGGGTCTCCTCGGGCGCCCTGTCAGGGACTACCGATACCCCAACAGCTGCACCGAGGAGGAGGCGTGGCCGAGCTCGCGCGCCGACGGGTGCCTCGCACGAGCTCAACAAGGAGCTTTACATACGCAGCTGGACTGCATCTGGGGCTTCACGCAGATCGAGCTTGCCCCCGAGGCGCAGAGGGCTTTTACGTTGCTTACCAAGCGCGGAATGCTTCGACCTTTGGTTTTGTTCTTCGGCGCCAAGCAGGGGCCCGCAATTTTCCAGAAGCTGATGGACTGGACGTTCGGGGACCTTCGCGGTAAGGACGACGAGGAGTTCCACTCGGTGTTCATGGACGACTGCACTTTGTCTACCGAGGCGTACGAGCACGACGCCGACGACGACGTGGTGGACCGCCACATCGACCATTGCATTCGTTTCTTGCAGGCGGCAAAGAGCAGGAACATTCAGTTCAAACTCACGAAGTCCAAGTTCGCGCACGAGTTCATCCATCTCTTGGGTTTCAAGCTTGGGCGTGGCCTTCGCTACGTGGACCCAGGCAAGGCTGACAAGATTGAGAAGTGGCCGGAGCCCAAAAGCATCGACGATCTGGTCAGCTTCAGGGCTTACTGCAACTTCGTACGCGAGTTTATCCCGAACTTCAGCTCGTTAGAGACGCCGCTCAAGAAGTTTATGAAGAAAGGGGCTAAGTTCGTGGACTATCAGAAGGACGCAGAGGCACAGAAGGCTTTCAACGTGCTCAAGCGCTCGCTCGCCCGTGAGGTGGGTCTTGCCACGCTGGATTACTCCGCGGCAGCCGACCCGAGTTCGGGTCGCCCCATCGAGCTGTACGTCGACGCCTCGGACATCGCATGGGCGGCTACCCTAGCTCAGCGGCGCGAGAAGGACGGTCCCTTGCGCCCAGTGGCCGTAGTCGGCCGCGGCTTCAACGCCACCGAGCAGGGCTGGAGCACGTTCGAGCGAGAGCTCTGTGGCCTCAGGGAGGCTTTGTCTGCCACCCATCATTTGACAAAAGGGTTCGTTGTAATAGTCTACACGGACCATCGGAATAATATCTTCACCGACTCGCTGTTCGCCAACAAGCGTATCTCCAAGAAGCTGTTGCGCTGGGCCCTCGACCTGGAGGACTTGGGCTCGCGGGTCGTTCGAGTTTGGCTGCGAGGTGAAGACAACGTTCTGGGCGACGCCCCTAGTCGCAACCCCGAGGACAGGGACATATTGCATACTCTCCGAGTTCCTGGTGGACCTGTTCGTCGAGTCATAGAACAGATGTTCACGGCGCCCACGAGCGCAGGGGAGCAGGCGCAGATGGATCGGTTTCTCGAGGAGATCGATGGCGCCCCAGTCAAGCCGAAGTCCGGCAAGGTCGACGACGAGACCCAGAAGGCGAAGTCCGCCAAGGTAAAGCCTGCCGAGACCGATGACGCGGTCCCAGCCACAGAACGGATGGCTGCTCCCTCTACTTCCTCTTCTACCAGGTCGAAGTACCATGTCGGTACAGCGGGCCCGATGTCGCGTGGCACCGCTCCAGAGTATCCTGATCGAGCTGCAGACGTCGCTGGCATGGGGGATGCCGAGGCTGATGATCAAGTCACGTGGCCTTCCTCACTCGATCAGATTGGCGCCGACGGCGCGGACTTGGAGTACTCTGACTCTGAGCCGGAGGCCTACGCCGGCCTTCGGCAGTCCGTGCGCGCCTACGCGGAGGGCGACCCCCAGGTCGAGGCGAATCTCTGCAAGTTGGTGGCCAGCGTCGTGGACCCCGAGCTCGACCCGCTCGAGGTTCGCCCTGTCTTTGTCGACACGCACTCGTGGGACGGGTCTTATCCGCGTCACCCCCTGGTGACATTCCTGCCGGCGGCCTCGTCCGCCGCGGCCGGGCCTGAGGAGGATCCTCGACTCCCACGAAACCCGCGAGTTCTACCTTACCGCATCACCTATGTCAAGGACGAGCGCGGCGAGAATTTCACCGTCCAGTACCGGACGCCGCAGGTCTGCATGACGGAGTGTGCAGGAAAACCATCTGGTACAGGTGCAAGCCGAACGGGGTCGCCGACGGCTCCGAAGAGGCGCTTGCTGGGCGGAAGAAGGCAGAGAACCAAGCATGGGCTCATGTCGAGGCTGTGCTTGCGCGTCCCACCGAGTCCGTGGAGGTGGAGCCCGCTGTCGGTTCAGGGCCGTTGTCCGGGACG